GTGCACATCGTCTAAGTGTGGGGAGGGAGAAGGAAAACACGTGCTTCAAACAAGCTGCGGCGGGAACGCCGCCACAGCCTGCATGCAAACAACCGAAGGAAGGAAGCACTGCGGCCGCCGCTAAACGCATGCGCATGTCCAAGACACGAAAAACCCGCTGGGCCCCTCCGGAGTCACCACCCCAGGGCTCCCCGTCTAAGCCTGATCTGCGTCCGTGCCCGCTCGGCCGCCGAATGGGCAGCCGCATCGGCCCGACCTGGAGTCCGCTGGGCGGCTGGATGGGCTCGGACGCCGAATGTTAGGAGGCAACTACCTGGGAGGTCTCCATCGGATCGATGAGGGAGAATTGAGCCCCCATTGGGGGGCTACTACGCCGAATTGGGCCGCAGATTAAGCGGGATTGAACAAGATGTAGCCGGATTGCGAGGGATTCAGCGGAATCAAACCGAATTAAGCTGGATTTCAGACCAGGGCACATTTACAATTTGACCTCCCAGGAGTTGCATCCAACCGAATGGGCTCAGGAGGGAGCCCATGGGGGCTCCATGGGGTCACCAAGCGCATGAAGTCCCCACCCGCCCGTAAGGCACCACAGGTGCCTGCCCAACCCTTGCGTGGATTCTTGGAGAACGAGTTTTGCCATCGCTCGGACGTCCACTCCGTGTGCATCTTTCGGCTTCGTGCGTGTTTTTTTTTGTTGCAGGATGATCCAGTATGCTCCTCGGTGGTCCTCACCAAGAAAGGATGCACACGTCCGAGCGATGCCAAGAGAAGCATTGGCATAATGGATATACGTTCGGAGCTCCGAGTGGAGTCTTGGATCTGCGCTTAAGAACCCCTCCCTGGCGCGCAGAGCGTGCCAAGGGCGGCGCCAGAAGCGCCGCCACAACGGCAACGACGACGACGACGACGACGACGATGAGGACGACGATGGTGACGACGACGACCCGCCCACTCGGCGAAAAATCGCAGATCCTGGAAGGGGAGAGGAGATGAATGAGTCACGACTCGAGCACGCGAACCCGCCTGCGCCTGGGATGTGTCAAACCTCATCCTCCTCCTCCACATCCTCCTCCTCCTCCCCCATCGTCCTCCTCCTCCCTCCCTCCTCCTCCACCTCCTCGCTCTCCTCTCCCTCCTGCTCCTCGTCCTCCACCTATTTTCCTTACGAGCAACCCTTCCCTGTCGCATCCCCAAGCGCGACGATAGGGCGGGCCCAGCGTTTCGCCTGCGCGTTCTTCACCATTTGTGATCCATAAGCTTGAGATTTACAGTGGCTTCAAAATGCGGCTCTCGTTTTAGAGCCGCACACATTCGTCTTGAAAGTTTGCAGCAGCTTCAAGTGTGAAGGGCGGGTCGTGCTCATGTTCGCCAACGCGGACCCAACACACTGAGCTGTTGCACTTTGCGTGGTGCAATCTAGGTGGTGCAACTATTTCGCCAACGCATGAAAAATCAACTCTACTGCTCGCGCCATCATGCCATCTTCCCGCCCGGAACTTGATTCGCGAAACCGACGCGGCGGCATTTGCCATGACTGCTCGGTCACGGCTGTGACATCTCTGCGGTCGCCCTGGTTTGTTTGCACAACCGATGCGGCCGCGATGGCGCTCACCGATGGCACCATCCCACCGCGTATCAAAAACTGAAGCGGGGCACGTCAATGCAGGTCGGTGGCTCGGGCAGGCGCGGCATCATCATGTCGACAGCGGCGGCAACGATTCTGTTGTGAGCGATGGTGCCAATGATGACGGCACGGCGAATGACGGCGCCGATGCTGGCAACGCTGGCGCCGACAATAGTGTCTATGCGTCGATTGTGAAGGTGCTTGGGTTATGATGGCGGCACTGGCGGCGACTGTCGGTAGCGTTGACGTGATGCGGCGCCGCTGATGAGGGTGATGGTGAGGAAGTGAGCGCGCGCGGAACTGCAGTAACCCTGGCAGGCGTCCTGCTGGAAAACATGTGGGCGACGATCAAAAACGGGGTTTACGCGAGATGACGTAGCGAGCTTACGCGTCGGCTCACGCCAGCGCGGCACGTCACGCTGGAAGCGAGGGCGCTCATGCGCGACCTCGCGCGGGTAGCTCAGGTGCGCCAATGTCGGCGAAGGCGACTCCGTTCTTTCGCGTCGCTCATGTGTCTGTCATGCGTAATCTGATGAGCCTGTTTTCCACCACCACCACCACCATAAGTTGGAGGGGGGAAGGAGGCGCAGGACGAGGAGGAGGACGAGGAGGAGGACCCCCTCCCCCTCCAACTTCTGGTGGCGGTGGCGGAAAACAGGTCCATCATGATCGAGAGATCTGTGTTGGTGCCCCTCGTGGTGGCACAGGTGATGGGCCTGCTTTCCACCACCACCACCATAAGTTGGAGGGAGAGGGGGTCCTCCTCCTCCTCCTCCTCCTCCTCCACCTCCTCCTCCTCCTCTTCGTCCTCCTCCTCCTCCATCTATTTCCCCCTCCAACTTATGATGGTGGTGGTGGTGGTGGAAAACAGGCCCATCAATAGGAATGCGGGTTCTGGGCGGGACTACTCAGATTAGATGAGTGACGATTAAACACGGGCCTTGCGCGAGATGGCGTAGCGACCTTTCGCGACGGCTTACGCAGGCCGCCAGCGCGGCACGTTACATCGAGAACATGGGCGCTTACGCGCGACCTTACGCGGGCAGATTACGCGCCAATGTCGGTGAAGACGACCCCGTTTTCTTGCGTTGCTCATATGACGTTCCTTTGGTTTCAGCGAGTGCGGGCGGGCAGAGAAGTTGCAAGATGTGGCATGGAAAACCTGAGGGCTCTGATGGCTGTCTGTCGGGATGCTCGCGAACCGGGGGCGTCCGGTTCGCTTTCGACATGTGCGCGCGTGTGGATGCTTTGTCATGTTTTGCAAGGGGCGCGCTGACAAACATATCGTGCAGTAAACGGCGCCTACTATTTTCTTAACAGGGATGAGTGAAGGGAGGAGGGGCGATACCTGGCCTGCCTGGGATGGTCCGAACTCTGTTGGAAGCGGCCGATGAGGCGGAATCATAAAATTTGCAGTGTCCCAGGGGGGAGCGATGAGTCCAGGGGAAGAAGGTGGTAGAGTCTTTTCATCGGTTGAAAGGAGAATCCATGTGGAGCAGTCTAGGTGGCGCAGTCCACGCGGTGCAAGGAGGCCGGCGGCAGGAAGCAAAGCCCTTACGGATTGTCAGGATGGAGGAAGCACATTGGTTCGCGGCTCCTTAGTCCCAGGAAGTGTCTTCTTGCACGATGCAGGAATGTCAGGACCCAACAATCACGTTGATTCGCCAGGAACTGCGGCTTGGTGCGATTGAGAATTCTCAGACCGTTGGCTTCCAATGGGGCGCTTCTCGTAACGAAAATGAGCTCCTGTAGGGACCTATGATGAGGGAACTTGGAGAGAGGTGTTATTGCAACATCTTTGAGGACGTCTTAGGTTTACACCTGGACCTCCTCCTCCTCCTCCTCCTCCTCCTCCTCCTGCTCCTCACCCCCTAGCGGCGGACGCGTGTTCCCGCGCCAGCAAGAGCACAGTGATCGGGAACCGGCAAACACCTCTGCCGTGGCCCCCTCAGGGAGGGCGGCCCTCCCCCCCGGTAGCCCAAGACCCTGAGGCCCTGACAGCAGCTCGGGCGGGCGGTAATAGGAGGTGACCAAATGAGGTGTGAAGACAAGAGCCCAAAAGGGCTCTTTTTTGAGCCAGTTGGTGCCCCAAAAGCTTTCTGAGCCAGTTGGTGCCCCAAAGGGGCCCTAAAGGCCCCATTCAGGGCCCTTTTCTTCACCCCGCAGTTGGGTCACCCCCCATTACCACCCGCCCGAGCAGCAATGTCCTCCGACGTTGCTATCCGCCCCTCGGGGGGGGTCAAACGAATAGGCTAGGCAGATCCTGGGGCGGTCGCCCCTGGGGTCGCCGGCTGGTGGGGAAATCAGGAGCATGTACAGTAGGGGCCCGACCACAAGAAACCTTCCACAAGAATTCTGTTGCTCCCATCGTACTGAAGGACCACATCCCAGAAATCATTTCGAGCACACAGAAAGTGTCGAACGAGTATCGCATCCCAGGGCCCGAGACGTTAAAACCCTCACGTGTCGGTACTTTCTTGGTGCTCGAAAGTCTTTCTGGTGATCAAGGCTAAAGTAAGTTGGAACATCATAACACAAGAAACCCAACCCTGAGACCTCAGGACCTCCATCGACTTGTTTGGTGTGGGAGCGTCACGCTGTCCGTCGCAAAACCATCGAAGCTCAGGAAACCCATGGGCACCTCGGAGGCGAGCAGGGGAATTCTTGGCATGAGCCTCCGCTGTACAGGGAAACCCTCTCCTCCTCTCCTCATCCTCCTCGGTCCTCGCTCCTGGAGTCCTGGAGGTTCTGCGATCGAGGGGCGGGCGCCTCGGGCGGACTGCTGGCCGACGCTGAGCCTTCCCGGCGCTTGTTCGCGGGGGGGGGGGGGGGACAATCGGCGGGGGGGAAAGAAGCGCGCCAGCAACCTTTGGGGGCCGAGGTTGTATCTCAGGGGCTGTGTGGGGCCCCGTGTGAGGGGCACTCTCCCTTGGCGGCGAGCGAGGCGGCGAAATGCGAAGGAGAAGGCCTTCTCAGAAGGCGGCGGGCCTTCTCAGAAGCCCTCGGGCCTTCTGAGAAGTTTGCTGCGTCTTTGGGAAAAGCCTGGACAACTTCTCAAATGATGGGCATGCTTTCCACCACCACCACCACCACCACCACCACCACCACCACCACCACCACCACCATAAGTTGGAGGGGGGAAGGAGGTGGAGGAGGAGGAGGAGGAGGAGGAAAAGGAGGACCCCTCCCACTAAAACTTGTGGTGGTGGTGGTGGAAAACAGGCTCATCATCAAACGCTGGGGAAGTCCCGTGCCTTCTGAAAGGCCCGCCCCTTCTCACTGCCCCCCCGGGCTCGCCGCCGAATCCTGCAATCCTCGACGGCCGCGGCGGAGGCCCACACGACTCTCTGGCAGAAGAAACGGGCCCGCGGAGTCAGATCGTCGCGCTGCAGTCTCCGGAGAAGAGCCCCGTGGGCGCCTCCAGGTCGAGGTCGAGCGGATCCTCCGCGTCGTAGAAGACCTCGGGGAAGGGGAAAAGGGCAGGCGAATGAGGAGGTGGAGGGGAAACGAGGAGAGCGAGGACGACCGGGAGGACAGCGAGGAGAAGGGGGCGAGTGAGCAGAGGAGGGCGTCCACTGCGACGCAAAGGGGGTCTCTCTGCGCAGGGCAAAAATCCCACCAGCCCTCTGGGCGTAGGTGGTTTGGGGCGGCTCCTCTTCCAACCCCCTTTCTTCCCCTTCGGGGAGGAGGTTTATCACTGTCCCATATTGATATACACCCCCTCCCCCAGGCGACTGGGAGCCAACCAGGGACAATGCGGGCACCCGCCCCCACCATCCTCTGTAAAAACAATACGAAACACACTCTGCCTCCAAATTCGGAGCATGCGCAGCGAACCCGATGCGGCTTCCCCCCACCATCCCTGTCAAAAACAATGCAGAGTACACTTGGCGGCGGCGGCTGCGGCGGCTGCGGCGGGGGCAGCGGCTGCGACGGCGGCGGCGGCGGGGGCGGGGGCGGCGGCGGCGGCGACGGTGGCGGCGGCGGCGGCAGCTGTGGCGGCAGCGGCTGCGGCGGCAGCGGCTGCGACGGCGGCGGGCGGCGGCGCGGCGGCGGCGGGCGGGGCGGCGGTTGACAGCGGTGGCGGCGGCGGCGGCGGCGGCGGCGCGGCGGCGGCGGCGCGGGCGGCGGCGGCGGCGGAGGCGGCGGCGGCGGCAGATTCGCCCCCAGTAGCTGCCCATCCAAAAACGACTGCTGAATATGCTGCGGCTCGGGCCAGGCTCGGTTGCTACGTATGTGTTTGTAGGGCGGGTGGAATGAGCGAGACGGCTTGTTGGCGGGGAGGGAGTCTTGACCCCTCCCCCTACCCCTCCCCTGAACCTGGACGGGGCGCCCCGCGAGCGGTCCGAGCGTCCAAAACGGTCTCGGCGAGGAAGCCAAAATCATTGGTTCTACCAAGGTTTTGGCCCCATTGTAGCCTCTTGGGGGAGCAAAGCTAATTGAGGAACCCTCCTTCCTTCATCCATCTCCTCCGAGATGGCCCCACGAGCGCTCCCAAGGCTCCTAAGGGTGGCCCAAGAGGGCCCCAAGGGGTGGCCAGGAGACCCCAAGAGGCCCCGAAGAGGCCCCCGGGATGCCCCCAACAGGCTCCCAAGAGACCCCCAAGGGGCCCCCAGAGGCCCCCAAGACGCTCCAAGAGGCCTCGGCGACAATGCCAAAATCATTGGTGTTACGTTTTTGCCACATTGTGGCCTCCTGGAGGGGGGGGCACTGCTTAAGATGACTCCACGAGCGCCTGGGAGAGCCCAAGATGACCTCCAAGATGGCTCAAGATACCCCAAGATGCCTTAAGATGCCTCCCACGATGCTCCAAGTGGCCCCAAGACCGCTCCAAGGCGGCTCCAAGTGGCCAAAGAGCTCCCCCAGGAGGCCCTGAAGAGGTTAACATCCTTTCACAACCTTAGGAAATTCATGTTTTTGGCTTTCTCGCCTTTTCGCTTCCGATGGCCATCCGAGGCTTCAATATGGCTCCAAGATGGCCCAAGAGGGCTCCAAGAGCGCTCCCGAGGCTCCCAAGAGCGCTTCAAGAGGGCCCTAGGAGGCGCCCAGGAGGCCCCAACAGGCGCCCAAGAGGCCTCCAAGAGGCTCCCAAGAGACCCCCAAGAGGCCCCAAGAAACTCTCCGAGGCACCCAAGACGCTCTGAAAAGCGTCTGGGACCGTCAAGAGGCCCCCAAGACGCTCCAGTGACGGGAAGAGGGAGAGGAGGGGGAAAGGGGAGGAGGGAGAGGAGGGGAAGGGGGGAGGGGCTGGGGGGGAGGGGGAGGGGGGAAAGGAGGTGCAGAGGCAGGATCGGGAGAAGCAGGGATGATGCTTACTGGAAGCCCATCTGGCGTGTGGGTGCTGGCGCCCTTCGGCCGGACTGTCAGCAGGAGTAGCAGCAGCAGCTGCAGCAACAGCAGCAGCAGCAGGGAGGCTGAGGAGCAGAAGCAGCAGAAATGAGGAGGCTGGAGGCAGGGCAGGAGGGGGGGTCCACTATGACGAAGCCAGGACGAGGACAACATCGGGTGAGAATATGTCGAGAATATCTGAGATCTGGCGGCTCTGAAAGATGTCTAGGGCGCCGCGGCCTTCTGGGAGCGTTCTGGAACGCTCTCAAAGCGTTCCGCAACGCTCTGGAACGGATCTATCCTCGTCCCAGCCCCGTCCGAATAGAACTCCCACCGCGTGGGTGCCTCGTCCAGGCTGCCCCGCTGCAACTCGACGGGGCGGCCAATGACGTCGGGGTGATCCGCGTGCCGCTGGAGCAGGTCGCGGGCAATGTCCAGCCACAGGGTGGTCGGGCAGTGGCCCTTCCAAACGCCCAAGATCAGGCTGGTTCCGCGGATGATGTTGATCATCCGCTCCACCTTGGTGCAGACAGCCGGTCTGCTCACTACCATGACGGAAACGGGTCCTTCAGGGAACGGTCCTGGGCCCTACCGCGTCTTCGACCCCAAACTATAGGATGGAGGCATCCCAGACAGGGCCTGAGCAGATGGGATATCGCGACGCATCGTCGATGCACCAGCGATGCCATCAGCGACTGCGGGATGGAGAAGAAAAGGCTCCAGATCGCGCCGCATCGCTGATGCATCGGCGATGCGGCGCGCTCCCCCGACCCCATCTGCTCTGGCCACATCTGCGACGCGTAGACAGGAGCTGACTCCCTCAGGATCTCGATCCTTCATGGCGAAATCTGGCTCCACGGATGAACCAGGCCTCCGGTGTGGCGCGTACTCCCCGGGGGGTCTGGACCCGTTCCCCGAATCGTTTTCTGACTGCCCTGGGGCCCTGCAAAGGCCCCCGAACCGACAATGCCGGAAAACCGTCCACGGCGTTTTCACGCACGACGCGAAGGAGATGCTTTCCTCATTCGCGGCGGTAAAAGGCATCACGAGGGGGATAGGGGGGGGCGGAGGGGCATGACACAACGACACTTCGCACCACCGTGACAGACTGTGGTGCCGGACGCACTGCAGCAGTGCCAGGGAAGCACTGGTCAGGAGCGAATGGAGAACGCACACGTACATGGATCCCACGTTGGTTTCGAAACTACGCGCTGCGCGAGGGTTCGTGTGGAACGAGGCTGGCCCGCGAACTGGGGGGCTGTACTGGATGCACGTGGCTGGGCGCGAACGTCCTTCATACAGTGGCGGCCAGTCCACAAGAACCCTTCCACGAGAAACCCAACCCTGAGAACCCAGGACGTCCATGGATTTGTTACATCAAATAAATCACACTCTGCATGGCAAAACCATCGAAAGCCAAACAACCCTGGGCACCCTGGAGGCAAGCAAGGTGTTTCTTGGCATGGGCCTCCACTGTAGGCCCCAGAACCGGGGGGGGAGCGTAAGGCTGTGGAGAGGGAGGAGTGGGGAAATGGGGGAAGGGAAGGGCATGACGCGCGTGGTACGGCCCCGAGGGCAACAACGACAAAAAACTCTCGAAGGTCGGGGGATGCCGCCCGCTCACCACGCACCAGCGCACGGCGCCCATGGAGCCTGGTCCTCAAGGTGGCCCCCGGGCGCCCAACAATGCCACCCCAATAAGCATGGAAAACGCGGCGCTCCGAGAAAAAGTCGGCTCATCTTCTCACGTGCGGCACGGAGCGGGCCTCAACATTGTCCCACGCATCATCAATAATACTGCCCAGCCGGTATGGATTGTTCGTGCACTTCACCGTGTCCTTCTCAGAGGGCCCCGCTCATCTTCCTTCATAGCAATATCATTGATTTTACGAAACTTTTGGGCTCATTTCGTCCTTCTCAGGGGGCAGCGCTCATTTGCGCTTCTGAGGAGGTCGCAAGAGGCCCCAAGATGGCCCCAAGAGGCCCCCAGGAGGCTCCCAAGACGCCTCCAAGAGTCCCCCAAGAGGCCCCAAAGAGGCCCCAAGGGGCCCCCAAGAGGCCCCCAAGAGGCCCCCAAGAGGCCCCAAGAGGCCCCAAGAGGCCCCCAAGAGGCCCCCAAGAGGCCCCCAAGAGGCCCCAAGAGGCTCCAAGAGGCCCCCAAGAGGCCCCACGAGGAGCCCGAACGACTCACACCAGGACGAGGGGCCCGAACGACTCACACCACGAAGAGCCCGAACGACTCACACCACAAGGAGGGGCCCGAACGACTCACACCAGGACGAGGCGCCCGAACGACTCACACCACGAGGAGCCCGAACGACTCACACCACGACGCGGGCCCCGAACGACTCACACCACGAGGAGCCCGAACGAGTCACACCAGGAGGAGGGGCCCGAACGACTCACACCAGGATGAGGGGCCCGAACAACTCACACCACGAGAAGCCCGAACGACTCACACCAGGACGAAGAGCCCGAACGACTCACACCACGAAGAGCCCGAACGACTCACACCAGGAAGAAGGGCCCGAACGACTCACACCAGGACGAGAAACCCCAAACGACTCAAATCACGAGGAGCGCTTTCTCTCCCTCCTCCTCCGCCTCGTCCTTCTCCCGCTCCCCCCACAAGGAGGATGTACAAGGAGGCGGGAGGAAGGAGGAACAGGGGAGATATGCGGGGCCAAGCGGACACACGCCTGAAAAACACGACTGTCGGCATGCTTCGCAAGAGTTGCTGCTGTGAGATGGGCTGGTGGGGATACGCGAAGCGTAAAGAATTCGGCATGGACACTACAGAATCCTATACAGGGCTGGCGCGGACTGCATAGGACCCTGCACAGGTCCGGGATGGCCATATAAGATCCTATACAGAGCCGATGCGGAGTGTATAGGGTCGTACACAAGTCCGATACGGACTCATGTGCTGATCCGATACGGACTGTGTTGGATCCCATACAGAGCCGATACGGATTGCATAGGCTCGTATACATATCCGGCATGAGATGCGTAATATTCCGTACAAACGAGATACGGACTCTATGATATCCTATACAGAGCCGCTATGGACTTGATCGGATCCTATACAAGCCGATGCGGAATGAATCGGACCCCATACACATCGAAAATGGAATGTATATAATACTATGCATACTCGATACGGACAGAACAGGATACTATACAGATCCGATGCGGAGTGTATACGATCCTGCACATATCTGGTAGGGACTGCATAAGATCCTACAAACGGCCAGGGGTGCCCGTCCTGAACAAAAACGAGGCCCTGTTTATGCCCGCAAGCACCACCGCCGGCGGCGCCAAATTAGGCCTGGTTGATTGCATCGGGTTTGGATGTCATGCAACGACGGTCGTCGAGCGTCGGACGGAGCACCTGGCTGTCCCCGCACGCAGGGGGTAGGCTGGGTGGCGCGAGCACCACGTCCGCCACCAGCCACCGCCTGCAAGGGCGAAATGGGAGAACAGAGAGGAGGGCGGGTGATAGGGGGTAAACAAACCTACCTCGCTTTTGACCACCCTCGCTTCCAAGAGATACCAAACGATGCCAAATTGCAGCCTGTACTGGTCAGGCCGCTTGACGAGGAGGCGCGTGGTATGGCTTGGTTTTGCCTGGAAGCGAAAGCGGGGTAGGTAATTCACGCTCTGAGGTGAGGCTGGGCGAGGAGATCGCTGCACGCCTGCATCGCGCTCGCACCCTTGCGAGCGGCCCGATCCCATGGGCCAAAAAATGACCATTGAACTACACTCGGACCGAAGACAGAAGAATATCCCGGAAGAGTATGAGACCCTCCGCCTGCCAAAACAAGCAGCACATCTAAGGATGCCCTCTCCAGGGTGCACAAGAACATCCAACAAACATAAAAAACATCAGGGCACCCTCCCCCAACCGACCTCGACCAATTACCTCGGTCCGACCTTATACCTCGGTCCGACCGTGTGGAAACACGTGGGGCTCTTTGTCAGCTCATCGCGAACAGGGGCAGATGCAAGCATTGTGGAAGCAACTATGCGGCAAAGAAAATGGAGAGGCCTGGCTGCACCTCCTGGCCTAGTTAGGCGGCATCATGGCCGTCGAAGAAGGAGGGACGGAGGGAGGGACGAAGAGGGGAGTGAGGGAGGGAGGGAGGGAGGCAGGGAGGGACGGAGGGAGGGGAGTGAGGGAAGGCGGGAGGGAGGGGGGGGAGGGCAAGCTAGGTGCGCTCGCGTCATATCTGACATCCTACCCCTCCCTCCCATCCCTTACCATGGCGTAGATCCCCTCTCTACTCGCACAGTCGGATGTCGAGCAGGGCAATGATCTCGAAAGGGTACGCGATGCATTGTAGAGCACGGCATGGCATGGCGTAGAAGAGCACAGCAAAACGTAGTAGCAACCTAATTAGCATTGCCTTGCATGCCGTGGCATGGCACGGGAAATGACGCCAGCGCTGCAGCGGGAGCACGAGTCGACACGAGCGGAAGCACGGAAATGAGGCCAGCGCTGCAGCGGGAACACGATTCGGAACGAGCGGAAGCACGGAAATGAGGCCAGCGCTGCAGCGGGAGCACGGTTCGGAACGAGCGGGGCCCGAAAATGAGGCCAGCGCCTCAGCGAGAGCAGCATTTTGACAAAACATGTAAGCGAAAACCCAACTCCGGGGAAACCTGTGTGTAAAAAAACAGTACGCGGGGGGGGGTCGAGCACTTTCAAACCGTCATCAGGGGAAGAGGGAGAGTAGTATTCATATTGAGTAATTGTGGACCGTCGATGAGGGAGGAGGGAGGGGGGAGGGAGGGGGGGAGGGAGGAGGGGGGGGGGAGCGGCCGAGCGGGCGCGCGCCCGAGTCGCCCGCCCGGCCGAGGCCCTCGTCCTCCCGCTCGACGACGCACGGGTCCTCCAGCGTGAGCTCCCGGTAGCGGTAGAAGCACTGCGCCTTCCGCCCCCGGCAGGAGGCTGCTGCGCGCGCTCGGCCGTGGGACCCCCTGCGGACCCTCGGCCCTGGCGGCCCTTTTTGGCGGCCTTCGGCGGCCTTGGGTCGGGGAACTGCGCCTCCTCCTCCTCCTCCTCCCCCTCCTCCTCCTCCTCCTCCTCCTCCTCCTCCTCCTCCTCCGCCTCCTCCTCCTCCTCCTCCCCCTCTAACCCTCCTCCGGGGGAGCAGGAGCGAAGGGAGGAGGAGGTTGGCGGCCTTCGGTGGCCTTGGGTCGGGGATCTGCTGACCCGGGCCACGCCAGACCCGGTTCAGTCAGACCCTGCAGGATCCTGCAAGATCCTGTAGGTTCCTCCAGGATCCTGCACCCAAGCCCGGGTCTGTGCACCCCTGGCAGCTCTGCAAATCCTACGAGATCCAGCGCTCTGGCTGACCCCCGTTTGCATTGGCCCCGGTATCTTGAGCCCCGATTGGGTGGTTCTGGCGCTCTGAGCGGCCCCCGTTTGCACGGACCCCCGTCTGTTGAGCCCCGAGACCAAAATTCCAGGATCCGGGCGTGCCGACGATAAGTCTGCCCGAGGTAGCACAAATCAGCAACGACAACTATCCCCGATTCTCTACTCCTTCCCTGCCCTGAATCCTCCCCTCGAATCCGGCGATGGGCGCCTTGATGCCGTTGGTGTCGCCGAACTTCAGACGGGCGGCGAGGGCGAGGAGCTCCTCGGTGCGTGGTTAAGGGCTCTGCGACTTCTGATTTCCCGCGACTCGCGCCAGAGTTTTCATCAGTCATCCGCCACCGTGCCTCTGGAAACGGAGTGGGCGTGTCCTCTGGTCCTCTCACTACTCCTCTAAGCCTCAGTCGCCACTCCTGGGGATTTATTCAAGGGTTCGGAGCCACTCGGCCCAAATCTCATGGGGCGTGTCTGTCGCGTGACTTGTTCGGGCCCAAGAGGGCCACAAGACGGGCCAAGAGGGCCCCAAGAAGCCTCCAAGACAAGCCAAAGAGGCCCCGAGTCGCCGAACGATCTTTCCAAGATGCCCAGGATGGCCCCCAGACGGCCCAAGAAGCCTCCAAGACGCCCAAAGAGGCCTCCAAGAGGCCTCCCAAGAGGGCCCAAAGAGGCCAACATCATTGATTCTGCAGGAAGGTTTTTGAAGGATTTCGATATTCTTCCTTTTCGGCTTCCCGACGCTCCCAGGCGCCCCTAGAGGCCCCAGGACCGCCCCAAGGCAGCCCAAGAGGCCTCCAAGAGGCCCAAAAGGGCCCAGAAAGCCACCAAGAGAGCCCCAAAACAGCCCAAGAGGGCCCCGAGACAGCCCAAGAGGCGCCCAAAACGGATCAAGACGGCCCCAATACGACCCTAAAAGGAGCACAAACGAGAGAGCACGAACCGAAACTCCGAGCATTCCGCCCCGAAAGGCCCCACGATGGCCTCTAAGACGGCCCTGGAGCACCCCAAGAGGGGCCCAAGTCGGCCCCGAGGGGCCCCCAAGACGGCTTCCGACGCCTCAGGCGGGCCAGGAGGCCACCAGGAGGCCCAAGATGGCTTCAAGATGGCCCAAGAGACCCCCACGAGGCCTCCAAGAAGGCCCAACAGGCCTCCAAGACGCCTCCAAGAGGGCCTCCAGGAAGGCCCGAAGAGGCCAAACTCATTGATTGTCCTACGGTTTTGACGAAGTTTAGCATGTGGTTATTTTCGGCCGTCCAACGGCCCAAGACTGCCCAATAACCCCCAAACATCATCCCAAGATCGCCCAGGAGGCCCGCAAGATGGCCCAAAAACGGCCCACGAGGCCCCCAAGACGGCCCCAAGATGGCGCCGAGACGGCCCAAGAGGCCACCAAGAGGCCCCAAGATGGCGCAAGACGGCCCTGGAGCACCCCAAGAGGGCCCCACGTCGGCCCAGAGAGGCCCCTCAAGACGGCTTCCGTCGGCGTCAGACGGGCCAGGAATGCCGTAAGACTGCCAAGGAGCCCCCCCCCCCGAGAAGCCCCCAAGAGGCCCAAGGAGGCCCCCAAGAGGCCCCAAGAGTGGCCCAAGAGTATCCCAAGAGGCTCCCAGGGTGCCCATTTAGCGCCAGCATCATCCTCTTCATCATCGTCGTCACCAACACCACCGACAATAACATCATCACAATCTCGATCGGTAAGATCACCATCGTCATCGCTATCAATATCGTAATCACCATCATCAGTAACGCCACCATAACCTTCATCACACTCATCACCATCATCATCATCATCATCATCATCATCATCATCATCACCATCACCATCGCCATCACCATCACCAGCACCATCATCATCATCATCAGCATCATCGTCGTCAGCAACATCATCATCATCATCATCATCAACAACAACAGCAGCAGCATCAGCAGCATCATCATCATCAGCACCATCACCATAATCAGCAGCGTCGTCATCATTGCCATCATCACGAGCAGCCTCATCATCGTCAGCAGCCTCAGCATCCTCGTCGGTAACACCAACACCATCATGACCATCATCATAATCACCAATATCACGCTCATCAGGACCATCAGCATCATCGTCATCAGCATCATCATCACCATCAACATCAGCACCACCATCAACACCATCAATCATCATCACCATCACCGCTATCATCAATATCACTATCATTACCACCCGCATAACCCTCACCATCACAATCAACATCATCAACATCATCAGCATCACCATCTCGAGCACCGTCATCCATAACATCACCATCAGCATCACCACAATCATCATCATCATCAGCATCGTCGTCATCATCACCATCAACATTACCACCACGACCACCACCACCATCATCATCACCAGCATCATCACAATCACTATCGCCACCAACACCAGCACCATCAAAATCATCACCAACCTCATCATAATCACCACCACCACAACCATCATCATCATCATCATCAACATCATCATCATCAGCAGCAGCAGCATCAACATCAGCATCAGCATCAACATCATTATCGTCATCATCATCATCATCATCATCATCATCATCATCATCATCATCATCATCATCATCATCACAATCGTCCGCGCACCTCCGCCTCCACCTCCTCCTCCTCCTCCACCTCTCCCTCCGCCTCCTCCTCCTCCTCCTCCTCCTCCTCCTGCGGGAGCTCCTCGTTGATCTCCCCCGGGCGTTCCAACATGCCCTTGGTGCGGTAGCCCAACTCCGCGTGGCACTGCGCGGTAGCGCGGATGTCCTGGCGGCGGAGGGAGGCCCAGCAGGAGGGCCCCAGGAGGGGGGCCCCCCTCCCCTGCAGTCGAGGAGAGGAGGGGAGGAGGAGGAGGAGGAGGAGGAGGAGGAGGAGGAGGAGGAGGAGGAGGAGGAGAGAAGGAGGAGGAGGAGGTGGAGGAAAACGAAGAGAAGGAACAGGAGGAAAAGGAGAAAGAGGACGAGCAGGAAGGGAAAAATTTCATCAGCTGCTCGGGAGAGGTACTGCCCTGGTTGAGGGATGGAATCGCCGAACACGAGAGCCTACTGGATAGTACGCCGTCGAGGAGAAAGAGAAGCGAGACTACAGCAATGACAACCCGCATGAGGCCACAGTCACCGTGGATGTCCCAGACGCTTCAATCATCGCTCGCCAGTAACACTGCCAACTGCGATGGCGCCAGGCAGCGCCCCTGATACAAAGTCGTAGATGGTGAAGCAGCGGAAACGACCCTGGTGACGTTTGAAGCATGAATTGTTCCTTCGTGGGCTACAACCCGTACCTGAGTGCACACAAACAGATTGCTTGACATTTCCAATACGTTTCGCTCTGCTGCTTTATCGACATGGATGCTGACTCCATCGATCGCCCTCAGAGGCATCACATTGAAAACGACCCCTGCTTTATCGACATGGATGAGGACTCAAGGTTCCCAGCATGTCGTACACGTTGGTTGGGGACGAAGACCCTACACGAATACCCTGCACGAGCCGCATCGTTGGTGTATCAATTGGCAGTAACACGAAATGGCGCTCTCGCGGCAAGCTATATCGAATCTCATCACTTCCTGACGGTGCGATGGGTCGTGGATGATTGGTCCGGATTCTTGCGGACTCTGTTGACATCGCACTCATTGCAGTCTACTTCCGGTGGGCAGGGCGTTCCCTGCTTGAAACAGAGAAACGTTTGTTAGTGGACTGACACGGCTTGATCAATAATGGGCCCATACTCAATGCAAAATACACGGCTGCTGTATACTGATCTCAACGACGAAACTACCAAATATGACGAGTTGTTTTTCTGCGGGGCCCCAGTATATACACCACCACCAGGCGGCCATAAGAAACGAACAAAATCCTGCGCGCGACCGCCCTGACAGGGGTGCCACTGCCTGCCCCCGCCATGCACAAGTACTTGCCGTGTGGTCATGCGCGCAGATGGCGGCCGCATTCGGTCGCGAATCACTGCTCCTAAGCACCCTATGGCAACACGATGGTGGCGCATAAAAAAACGGACCCCCCCGGGAATGTTATACACCAACTCAAAATATACACCAGGTGAATGCGTTGCTTTTTGCGAATGTGACCGCGTGCCCAAACGACGCTGCACACGCGAAATGTTAGCACCGTGAGATTTGACGAACCCAGCAACCCACCGCCGAAACAATAACCCGATCAACCTCCACGACAAACAAACTGCCCGCGGTGGCGATGCATACGCGTGGGCCCAGGACTTTCGCTATCGGACCTTACCTCATGCTGGCGTGCTTTCCGTGAGCGTATTATTCGACGCCGCATCTGCTGCCCAGAGACGTTTTACAGAGTTGTTCCGCCTTCCCATGGACGGCAAAAACCGCCGATCTGGCATGCGAGCTACAAGACGCCTGAGCAAGAGCTTCAGTTCTGAGCCTAAGCAAGCGCTTCAGCTCTGGTTGGGGGGGCTCGTCGGGGTGGCTCTGCCGGGGAAGAGGGGGGGAGGGCGGTTTTCCATCTGGCGTTTCTCCATGATCTGCGCAACCCGATGCTTCGGAGGTCCCAAAGACCCCCTCTCAGATCTAGCCGTTACCGCCCCCAGGTTTTCCCCTCGGAACCCTCAGAGATTCTTAATGGCTTCCGCATCCCCGAGATGTTTCGGGGGGTCCCAAGGACCCCCCTCAGATCCAGCCGCTACCGCCCCCAGGACCCTCCCCTCGGAACCTTCCCTGGTCCCCCCGGGACCGCTCCAGGTCCCCTCCCAAAGGCACGTCAGCTCTAAACAACGTCGCCGACGACCCCGGTACCGCGGGACTTCTCTCGGGTTTCCCCCGTCGTCTCCTCACATTCCTCCTTTTCGTCGTCCTCATCCTTGTCCTCCCTCCTTCGCCTCCTCTCCTCCTTTTCCTCCTCCTCCTCCTCCTCCTCCTCCTCCTCCGCCTCCTCCTCCTCCTCCTCCTCCCCCTCCTCCTCCTCCCCCTCCTCCTCCTATCTCTGCCCTCCTTGCGCACGTCGGGCGGAGGTACGGCTGGCGAGCGGAGGCACGGCCGGCGTCGTCGTCGTCGTCCTCCTCCTCGTCGCCGTCGTCCTCGTCGTCGTCGTCGTCCTCCTCCTCCTCCAGGACCGCTGCCGGGAACCTCCCCCAGGACCGCGGGACTCCTCTCGGCTTCCTCCCGCCGCTTCCTCATATTCCTCCTGATCGTGTTCCTCCTCCTCCTCCCTCCTGCGCCTCCTCCTCCTCCTCCTCCTCCTCCTCCTCCTCTTCCTCCTCTTCCTCCAGTACCTCCTCTACAGAACTGCGAAGATCACCGAATTTGGAGCCCCCCCGATCGACGGCGCAGGCAGGGGGCCATTACAATACTTGCCCGTGGATAGATCAGTATGCCACTTCTCGTTGACTTGCGCACGAAATTAAACTCATGACGATGGCACACGCTGCTCGAACATCACAGCTGCATCCTGGTAGCGGGCGCTTCGTAGACCATTCCCCAGTGCCATTGCAACTGGAACTGTCATAGCCTCCCATTGCGCCGGAGCCACGCGCCCGATGGGGTCAAGACTCCGTAACGACTGCTGCGCAGACCCCTGGCTATCGGGGAGGATTCTGGCCAGGCGCCCCATGACAAACGCCGAAGCATCCTTGGATTACTGGAAGCCCCGTTGCTGGAGAATGGACGTCGTGAACTATGCGACGTCGCGTTCCCGCCACCGTGGCGAATGCGATCCAGCGACGCAGACTTTAAGACGTGAGCTACGCCAACTGGCCAACATTCGTGGCCGGCTACGTGCACAAGGCACTCCTGCCACGCACCGCGATGCCCGAATACGAGACCTCACAGCCAGAATCACACGGCAAGTCAGACGATGGCGAGGACAACTTCGAGCTGCTTGGCTGAAATATCTAGCGGAGGCCTGGGAATCTCGCAAACTTGCTGCTGTTCCAAGCTTATCGAGGCGCCCTGCTGGTGCTGGACTTGGACCCAAGCGGCGCAACTCCAGCGCCGCGCGTAAACATGACCCACGCGTTCAAGACCTGCAACAACATCTTCCGAAGCTGGGCGCCAGCGGTGATCTGGGAGCTCGGCGCGCTGCTCCCAGCATTCGCGTTGCAGCGTGACTCTGCGCGCGCCAACGGCCTAACTAATCGTGGCACTTGTCAGATCAAAGGAGCTCGGGACCTTCGACGAGCCATTGCGGTGCTCTAAAAATCACCATGACGGCGCGCGGCTCCTGAATGACCTTCGCCCGGCGAACTACGACTCATCTCATTGGCGCCCAAATATTTCATCAGAGAGAAACAGCCCGCTGGCGGTCTCGGTTCCAAACTTGAAGTTCCCTGCACACCCACTACTGACGAAATGTTTCTTGCTTCGGCGACTGGCTGGCTACTCAAAAGCGCGGCAAAGTCCTGGACCTGAAGGCGGCGCTCGTTTTCTTCGCGGGTTGCGCCCTGTCTTCCGAGTTATGCGCAGTGTTTATATCGCTATGCATCTTGGGGCCCCGACCTGCCAGCTGACCACGAGCGCCAACGCACCGTCGGCGCGAGAATGCTTTTCTTGTCGCCCGCGCCGCGGCCGGGCGTCCACGGCGAAAGAAGCAGCATCATTGCGCCGGATTAGGCGACATGACCAAAGCCAACGGTTGTTCCCACCACCTTCGTCTTAATGCAATGCACCATGACTTCCTTCCTTTTGCTGGCGCCGACTTGCTGGAAGGCCGCAGGGGCGCTCGCGTTTTGCCCCTCAAGGCCGTCGACGGCGCGGGGCAATCATTGCTCGCGACGGGCGCGCTCACGGGCGAAACTTCGGCACCCGACGAGTCCGCGATCAACGCGCGGCGACGCAGGTCGCCTCAACCACATCTCGCGGTTGAGTGCTCGTCGTTGCCGCGGCCTGTCGATGCATCGCGCGCAAAGTACGTGGGCGACCTGCGTTACTTCCTGGCGTTGACAGGCTGCCATCTTTCAAAAAAGCGCTCGGAGTGGTCGCTGCAGAACAGATGCTATCTCAAGAGATTCTTGCTGAGTATGGATACGCACAGAACTTCAGAGGACAAGGATTAGTTCCTTGGCTCAGATGTTATCAAGACCGCGGGCTCTTCTACAACGCGGACGTCGGGGGCGCGCGCATTTTGCCACGCGCAGGGACACCTTGGCCCATCTCCCATGCCGAATGGAACGATTGGGCCTCAGATCACGGTCCCGATAAGTAGCGTTGCTCGAGGTTGGTGTGCTTATATGGGTTGTTGGGCATGTGAGGCTGCCTGGAAGGTAAAGATATTGATTTGCATTCGCGTCGTCCAGGGCGCCCTCCTGTCCGGCCTCGCCCCGCCCCTGCTATCGTCGGCACAAGAACTCATGCTTTCTTCGCAAAATTGGTTCTGTCGCTTATGATGCCGCTTGTGACTGGTCTGGGCAACATCCTCGCACCTGGGGCCCTCGAGCAACATGGAGCTAATTGGATCTCACTCCCCCGCGATGCGAATTGCTCATGCAGGGGTTGCGGTGGTATCGTGCGATCGCTCGATGGCCCGAAGGTCATGCCCAAGCCACTGCTGCTCTCTATCTGGTCGATACGCATTCGGACCCAATGGCGCGAAATTCGACGGCAAGATCACGAGCGAGGCGAACCCGTTTGCGCTACGATTTGTTAGCGATGTTAGCTGCTCGCGGGCTCTGACAGGCATGGAGAATGTGATGGAAAGGAGGGGCGTTTCGATCGCTCGGCTTCTCGAGGATGGCGATGTCCGCCACACCTTGCCCCCCGTCGATGTCAATGCCATTCGGAAAATTTGGGAACTTGGTCGAGTCGGTCCTGTCATCGATCTTGGGGGGGATACCTACACTGGAGGAGAATGGATAGGGCGCGGCTGATCTCCGTGTTAAAGGTTCCCAACTTACTGGGGATGGGTGCGCGTGTGGCGCAGCGCTTGCGCCCCGCAAAGCTCTCGCAATGCACAGTCCACTCACCGCGGGCGGCGCCACTGAACAAAAACAGCAATATACTGCGATGTGTCATCACCAGCCAATGCCCACGCTGTCTGTAAACGTTTGCGTGTCGTCGGTCTTCCCAGTCACATCTTCAAGCTGCTTACCGCTGTGGCGCAAGAATGGTCAGCACTGCTCTTGCCGTCGACCCTGTCGTCAAAGTCCCGCATGTGTGTCCGATATGCGAAGAGAGTGGTTGGTCGTATTTGGCTCAGCTTCAGCAGCGCACTTTCGACTGCCACCTCCCACCTTCACCTCTTGCTCAGGATGGAGGCACCGGCATGGGCGCCCAAGCGCCAGGGGCACTCCAGCAGCGCCGACGGCGCCCCTGCAACGCACAGGGCCAAAGGCGATTCTGCTGCCGGCACGGACGGACCTCCACAGGCACCCCCGCGCCAAAGAGAAAGGCAACAACGAGGAGAGGAAAGATCGCAACAAGTCCCCCGGTACACTGGCAGGCCCAGGCTTCAACAAGAAGCAACAGAACATCGTGAGCGCCCTGATCAAACAAATTCTCCTCACCTTTCAGATGTGCCGCGACCCGTGGGCCCTCCGCATCATGATGTGGTTCGTGGACAGCACTCTCGAGGAGGTCGATGCCGCTCGGGCGGCAGGACAAGCGTACAGCGAGTCGGTCAAAGAGGCTGGTCGGGGCCACCAGTGGGGTCCGCCTCACCGTCGCATTTTCAATGGGTAAGTCTCCAAGCTCTTGGAGCATACGAACAGCTTGGGCGCCAAGACTTACGAGGACCTCAACAATTGGCACAAAGAATGGTGGTGCAAGGCCGGTCTGGAGAATAGCTGGTCCCAGATACGTCTACGTTTGCGCCACCTCTTCCAGCGAGGGTTCAACGAGGTCAGGGCCAAGCTCGAGGTCGGGGCCGATTCACCAGGTGCCATGGAGGAAATGATTCAGAATGTATTTCCTAGATGATCGACAATTCATGACAGGGCTTCCTACATATCTCGATCCACATTGCAGTGGGTTCATTGTCTGCGGGTGGCAAATACTGTTGTTCCCTTGGCTTGAGTGCAACGTGTGTCTTCCAACATCCTGACCTTCCTCAGTGCAATGAAAATATCTGTCTCTGGAAATGGTGATCTCTCTGCAGTATGCCCACCATGATGAGTGACTACACCGTCAACTCCACAATGTATGCCTGGGTGGAGTGGCAGGTAAAGCTGTACGTAAGGAACAGGATGTCCTTAGCGCGCTCCTGCTGCCACAAGAAGGCCGAACCACGATCACTTACGACACGGAAGGCCCTACAACTCCGAACGGACTACAAAAAAAAATGCTTTCCTATTTTAAGACAAATGTGGACTGATGGCCTGCTCTTGGCAATGTATTATTCTTGGGATCTGGTAACGGCCCAGTTCCTTGTCTACTGGGACTTCCAGGCTTGAGGCTGCTACTGCCGCCGCTGCCCTGCCCCCTTCGAGACTGTAGCGTAAAGCGTGTGACCTAGTTTAGGTTGAAATTCACTGTGCGTCCCTCGCGTCCCACACGTCGGCGCGATGTTTCCCCAGGGCCCTAGACGTGCCTGTTGGGGCCTGCCTAGGCCCCCTCGCCTATCTCCTGGTTTCTAACCCAGCTTCGGCTGGCAGCCGTGTAAAGAATCACAAGTGTTTGTCCGAGTGCCTTTGCATATGCCGCTGTTTAGTTTTCATCAGTTGCCCACGCTGGCCTCCTGCTCGCCCTGGACACCTGGCAACCTCGAATCACGGCGCGCCTCTACGCAGCGTTATTTGTATCCTCCTCCTTCTTCTCCTCCTCCTCCTCATCATCATCATCGCCATCAGCAGCATCAGCATCGGCATCAGCATCTGCATCAGCATCATCATCCTCATCCTCATCCTCATCCTCAGCATCAGCATCATCATCAGCATCATCATCATCATCATCAGCAGCAGCAGCATCATCATCAGCATCATCATCATGATCATCAGCATCATCATCACCATCATCATCCTCATCATCATCATCATCAGCATCATCAGCATCAGCAGCATCATCATCCCTCCTGGGAAGCCGAGCCCATTGCAATCATACACGTCTCCGCCCCACCATCCAGTAAAGTCTCAGGCTGCCTTTCCTCGGCCCCGAGACGCCGCTGGGACTCTTCAGAGAGCACTCGAACGCACCAGGACGTCCTCCGAGCGCCACAGACACAGTCCTCAGGCGGCCCAGCCCCCCAAACCCCACTTCGGACGATCCTACCTCAGTGCGGCGCGTCGCCAATTCTGGCCCACCGCGCTTCGGCGCGACACGCCAGATCCACGTCGCGGCCCCCGAACGTCCACGTCCCGAGCTTCTCCCAGCCTCGCGGAGCGGAGCGACTCGCTGTCCGCTCGCAGAGCATACTGAGTCGCAACGGCCCCCGAGGCGACTCGCTGAGAAACGAATCCCGAAATCGACAGGTTAATAAAGCCTCATTGAGACATCGGAGTCCAGATCGGGGCCCAGGCGAGCTCAGGACTGGCCCAACGACGGCTCCTCCACTCAGCCAAGCATGCCTCGTGGAGGCGAACAAGACTGGCCAGGAGCACCAGGACCAGGAAACGTCAAGCACCCGCGGGCCCACGAGTCCTGGCCCCAGCCGGCCCAGGAGGAGGATCAGAAGGAGAAACAGAGGAGTGCAGAGCCATCTGCGCGACCAGAAGCAGCCACCCCCCTGAACCAGGCGAACATGCCTGCCGACATGCCCATCCTTCCACCACCACCCCGCTCTCTTCGCTCCCCCTTTTGCATGCTTCGATGTGAACTGATGGCCCACATACTGCCGCTAGGGGCTCCAAGACGGCCCCTAGAGGGCCCAAAGACTGCCCAAAGACTCCCAAACTGCCCAACAACTGCCCGCGGCACCTTCTCGAGAAGCGACAAAAGGGCAATTCACTAATTGATTTGGCAAAATTGGAGTTCTGGGGTAACCACATAGTAAAGATGCCGCTACTCTCTCGACCTCTCCTGCACTGCGCACTGACCAGTACAATCTCTCCTCGAGCCGCGGTGACGAGGACTCTCCAGGACTAGCAGCGATAGATGTACAGTCAAGACCGATAGCAAGGATGCCAATGCGTTTCAAGCGGGGCTGGCCATCGAACGTGGTTGAGGATGGACCGAACACGACCGAAGAGGCAAGGCTGCAAGGGTATCCCTGGAAAGTCGGTACCTCTTCCCACTCAGAGGGTGGGAGCTCTTGCCCATGTCCCTGTGGGCACCGTTGGGCCCCAAGGGGCCGAACGCATCCACGTCCCTCGCCTCCAGAGGTCAAGCAAAACCAGCCCCCCAGGCGGTGGACGCGCACGAATCCGAGCCGCGGGCCCGTGGGCGAGGAGGAAGGGGAGGAGGAGGAGGAGGAGGAGGAGGAGGAGGAGGACGACGAGGAAGAGGAGGAGAAGGAGGAGGGAGGGGAAGAGGAGGGGGAGACGGAGAAAGGATAGGTGGAGGAGGAGGAGGAGGAGGCGGAAGGTCGATTTTGTCCCTTCCACTGTTCCCCATCACGCTCCGTGGGGCTGGGCAACGACCCGAGCGGGGGGAGGGGGCGTCCTCGGAGTGTAGGGCCAGGACGAGGCGAGCGAAGCGGAGGCGCGTGCGCAGGCTCAGCTCGCACACCTCGGCCGAGGGCAAGGGGTCGTCAATCCCCGCTCCTGCTCCTCATTTGTCCCGTACAGTTTCCTTATACATCACTCCTCCATGTCGCACCCCGAAGCCAGTCGAAAAGGCTGGCCAGGCGTTCGGGCTGAGACACCCTCACCGCCTATGATCCGGAAGCTGAAAGCTGGGCAATATTCCACGTATGCAGGGCGGGCCACTTCCCAAATGTGGCTGTCGCCTTTGCGCAACACGCATTCGTCTTATACACTGCAAGAGCTTAACGGGTTGAATGCGGGCCGCTTCCAAAATGTGGGCATCGCCTTAGGGCCGCGCACACTCGTTTTAAAAATGCAAGAGCTGCACGGATTGAAAGCGGGTCGCCTCCAAAATGTGGTTCTCGGCTTAGCGCCGCGGCCTTTTTTTGTAATTCCAATGGTTTCGCGGATTGGAGGCGGGTCGCTTTCAAAGTGTGGCTATCGCCTTAGCGCCGCGTACACTCGATTTGAAAATGGCAAGGGCTTTGCGGATTGAGGGCGGCTCCTTTTCACAGCGGTTCTCGCCTTAGCGCCGCGCACACTCATTAAACAAAAACAAGAGCTTCACGGATTCGCCTCGTTACCGTACCAGAAACTGCGTGTTGGAACGATTCAGGACTGTCCGGGCGCAACAATTAAGTTGATTCGCGGTGTTGAAGTCTCAGAAATTGTGCCCTGGCATGATTCAGGGCCGTCAACACGTAACAGTCAAGTTGATTCCTGGCGTTGGAGTTCCAACAATGGTCTTGGCGCGCTTCAGGATATTCAAACGGTTATCTCGCAACGGGGCACTTCCCCCAGTGGAAATGGACTGTTGTGCGGAGCTATGAAGGGGGGCTTGGAGGCAGGGTGCATTCCGACATCGTTGTTAAGTCGTGGGTTTACACTGGTCCTTATCCTCCCCCCATCCTCCTCCTCCCCCTCTTCCTCCTCCCCCTCCTGACCCGCCTCGCCTCCCCCCTCCCGCTCCTGCCCATCCTCCTCACCATTACCGTCATCCCATCCTCCCACTCCTGGTGGTCCTCCTCCTCCCCCTCTTCCGAATCTTTCCTCCTGGTCCTCCTCCTCCTCCTCCTCCTCCTCCTCCCGCCGCCGCCGCCAGGAGGAATCAGCCACGATCGGCTACAGTGCTGGGAGCGGTTCGCGCGAGAGAGCAGGCGGTGGCAGCCAGGGCTGGAATGCAGGAAAAAACAACAGAACGACGTACACATCATCGGAGGGATCGCAATCTACCGTCACTTGACTGGAAACACTCCTAACCGTGGGGGATGCAAAGTCACCCCCCCCTCTCCCGGGTCGGGGAAGGGGGGGTCCCCCGTGGATAGTGGGGTGGGCGGTTCGAACCGGCTCGAATCAAATTGTGCTAGCAGGGCTAGATCCAGCCCTGAAAAAATCCTACTAGGGCTCGATCAAGCAGTAATGGAATCCTACAAATGCTAAATCCAACTCGTATATTATAAAACCCTACAAAGGCTCGAACAAGCTCTAACCGAATCCTGCTACTAGAGCTGGATCCAGCTCTGATAATATCCTACAAAATCTCAGACCACGGTAAATACAATCCTACTACGGGCTGGATGCAGCTCTGATGGCACCCTACTAGTCTAGTAGTAGTAGGTGTCGATCCAGCTCTAATAGCACCCTACTAGTCTACTAGTAAATACAATCCCTACGAGCTGGATCGAGCTCTAGTAGTACTAGAGCTCGATCCAGCTCTAATCGGATCGACGTACTATGGTCTGAATGCAGCTCTAATAGAATCCTACGAGGATTCGAAGCAGCCTTAATGCAACCCTACCAAGGATCGGTCCAGACCAAATAGAATCCTACAAAGCTATATCCAGCTTTAGTGGAATCCTACTAGGGCTGGATCCAACTGTCATGGAATATCACCCCTCCCACCTCCCACCCTCCCCCCGTCCCACCCCCCCGGGTCTGAACGGGGAGAGGGGGGGCTCTCAACCCCTCCGCGTCCCCCCCCGGTTCGGAGTTGGAGGCTGTGTTGCCCCCCCCGTTCCGAACTGGGGGTGGGGGTTGCCAATAGCGGCAGAAAGCGTTCTTTCCGCCATCAGGTACGATATTGTTAGAGCAAGCTCGTGCGAGAAGCTGGGCAGTGAAACAGTCGGCTGTCAGTGCAGGAAGGCAGGCAGTGGCAGCGGTGGCTGACAGTGCGAGAAGGCAGACCAGACAGTGGCAGCACGAGCGAAATACACACCATCAGTTACAACGCTGCTGGGATCAGCTCGTGCGAGAAGCCAGGCAGTGGAATCGTGGGCTGTCGGTGCAAGAAAGCAGGAAGTGGTAGCGGTGGCTGAAAGTGCGAGAAGGCAGACAGTGGCAGCACGAGTGAAATACACACCATCAGCTACAACGCTGCTGGGGCCAGCTCGTGCGAGAAGCCAGGCAGTGGAATCGTGGACTGTCGGTGCGAGAAGCCAGGCAGTGGCAGCAGTGGTTGCCAGTGTGGGAAGGCAGGCAGTGGCCACAGGAACGAGCTACACATGATCAACTACAATGCAAGAAGCGAAGCACGGGCCGACATCATCAGCTACACCGCTAGGAGCCGACTGTGTACACAAGCAAGGGGCCCTCAACACGCCCATTCCTCACTCTCCTCCTCTTCCCCGTCCTCCCCCACGTGTTCCCCGAAGGCTTTCCAAACCGATTCAGGGAGCACATGGTCCGACAGCTTGGCAGGGCTCTGGCCTCAACGTTCGGCCACGTAGGCGCTTCCGAAAGGAAGGGGGCGGCGGTGACTCGCCGTAGGCGTCTTCGATTCGCCGCCCCCTGTCGATTCATCGCAGGGGTGCCTGGCGTGCTGGACTTCTTACGGCGTGGCTTTGGTTCTTTATCCACAAGAACTCCCCCTGGCGCTTCGGCCCGTCCCGCCGGGTCCCGGGAGTGAGCTCCAGGCGCGCCAACGACATCAACGTCCACAACAAATTCTCCAAGACGGCTCAAGATGGCCTCCAAGACGGCCAAGATGACCCTCAAGCTCGCCCAAGATGGTCCGAGATGGCCTCCCAGACGGCCAAACAGGGTCCCATATACGTCCAAGTTCGCCCAAGAGGCCTCCAAGACGGCCCAAGAGGCCCCCAAGGGGTCCTCCAGGAGGGCCCGAAGAGGCCAAAATCATTGATTTCCTAACGATTTTTGCAGGATTTGACATTTGCTTCTTTTCGGCCTTCCGACGGCTCAAGACGGCCCAAGAGGCCGGCAAGATCGCCCCAAGATCGCCCAAGAGGCCTCCAAGATGGCCCCATGACAGCCTAAGAGGCCCCCAAGACGGCCCCAAGAGCTCCCAAGACGGGCCAAGAGGCCTCCAAGACGCCCAAGATGGCCTCCAAGACGGCTACGATGGCCCCAAAATGCATCCGACACGGCCCAAGATGCACCCAAGACGGCCTGATATGGCCTCCAGATGGCCTCAGACGGCCCAGGAGGCCCCCAAGATGCCTCCAAGACGGACCAAGAAGCTCCAAGATGCCCTCCAAACTGGTCAGAAGATGCCAACACCATTGATTGTCCTTAGGTGTTTAAGAGAATTGTGGCATTTGCGCCTTTTCGGCAGATTTCCCCAAGGTTATTGAAGGATTGTGGCATGTGCTTCTTCTCTGCTTTCCGACGGCTCAAGACGGCCCAAGAGGCTGCCAAGATCGCCCCAAGATCGCCCAAGAGGCCTCCAAGAGAACCCCATGACGGTCCAAGAGGCCTCCAAGACGGCCCCAATAAAGCCCCAAGCCGGCCCAAGAGACCTCCAAGACGCCCAAGAAGGCCTCCAAGACGGCCCCGAAGCGCCCCAAGAGGACCCCAAGTCGGTTCAGAGAGGCCCCCAAGACGGCTCCCGACGGCGTCAAACGGGCCAGGAACCCACCAAGATGGCCGAAGTTGGCTCGAAGCTGGCCCTAAGATGGCCCAAGACGGCCCAAGAGGCCTCCAAGAGGGCCTGCAGGAAGACCAGAAAATGCCAAAAACACTGATTTTCCTAGGGTTTGTTCAAGGATTTGACAGTTGCTTCTTTTCGGCCTTCCGATGGCCCGAGACGGCCCAAGAGCCCTCAAAGCTCGCCCCAAGATCGCCCAAGAGGCCTCCAAGATGGCCCCAGAACGGCCCAAGAGGCCCCCAAGACGGCCCCAAGAGGCTGCCAAGACGGCCCAAGAGGCCTCCAAGACGCCCAAGATGGCCTCCGAGACGGCTACGAGGGCCCCACGATGCCTCAAACACAGCCCAAGATAGCCCCAAGAAGGCCTGATATGGCCTCCAGATGGCCTAAGACGGCCCAGGAGGCTCCCAAGAGGCCTCCAAGACGGACCAAGAAGCCTCCAAGAGGCCCTCCAAACTGGTCCGAAGAGGCCGAAACCATTGATTTCCCTAAGGTTATTGAAGGATTGTGGCATGTGCTTCTTCCCAGCGTTCCGACGGCTCAAGACGGCCCAAGAGGCCGCCAAGATCGCCCCAAGATCGCCCAAGAGGCCTCCAAGAGAACCCCATGACGGTCCAAGAGGCCTCCAAGACGGCCCCAATAAAGCCCCAAGCCGGCCCAAGAGACCTCCAAGACGCCCAAGAAGGCCTCCAAGACGGCCCCGAAGCGCCCCAAGAGGACCCCAAGTCGGTTCAGAGAGGCCCCCAAGACGGCTCCCGATGGCGTCAGACGGGCCAGGAACCCACCAAAATGGCCGAAGTTGGCTCGAAGCTGGCCCAAGACGGCCCATGAGGCCTCCAAGAGGGCCTCCAGGAAGGCCAGAAAATGCCAACAACACTGATGTACCTAAGGTGTGTTCAAGGATTTTGACATTTGCTTCTTTTCGGCCTTCCGACGGCCCGAGACGGCCCAAGAGCCCCCAGAGATCGCCCAAAGATCGCCAAAGCGGCCTCCAAGATGGCCCCAAAACGGCCCAAGAGGCCTTTAAGACGCCCAAGATGGCCTCCAAGACTGCCCTGGAGCATTCCAAGAGGGCCCCAAGTTGTCCCAAAGAGGCCCCCCAAACGGCTTCCGACGGCATAAGACAGGCCAGGAACCCACCAAGACGGCCGAAGATGGCCCTAGATGGCCCAAGACGGCCCAAGAGGCCTCCAAGAGGCCCTCCAAACTGGGCCGAAGAGGCCGAAACCATTGATTTCCTTAAGGTTATTGAAGGATTGTGGCATGTGCTTCTTCCCAGCGTTCCGACGACCCAAGACGGCCCAAGAGGCCGGCAAGATCGCCCCAAGATCGCCCAAGAGGCTTCCAAGAGGGCACCATTACGGTCCACGATTCCTCCAAGACGGCCCCAAGAGGACCCCAAGTCTGCCCAAGAGACCTCCAAGACGCTCAAGATGGCCTCCAAGACGGCCCCGAAGCGCCCCACGAGGACCGCAAGTCGGTTCAGAGGGGCCCCCAAGACGGCTCCCGACGGCGTCAGACGTGGCAGGAACCCACCAAGATGGCCGAAGTTGGCTCGAAGCTGGCCCAAGACGGCCCGAGAGGCCTCCAAGAGGGCCTCCAGGAAGACCAGAAAAGGCCAACAACACTGATGTACTTAAGGTTGTCGAAGGATTTTGGCATTTGTTTCTTTTCGGCATTCCGACGGCCCGAGACGGCCCAAGAACCCCCAAAGATCGCCCTAAGATCGCCTAAGAGGCCTCCAAGATGGCCCCAGAACGGCCCAAGAGGCCCCCAAGACGGCCCCAACAGGCCCCCGTGACGGCCCAGTGGCCTTTTACGACGCCCAAGATGGCCTCCAAGATGGCCCTGGAGCATTCCAAGAGGGCCCCAAGTTGGCCCAGAGAGGCCCCCCAAATGGCTTCCGACGGCGTCCGACGGGCGGAGCTCACCAAGATGGCCAAAGATGGCCCTAAGATGGCCCAAGACTGCCCAAGAGGCCTCCAAGAGGGCCTCCAGGAAGGCCCGAAAAGGCCGAAATTAGTGATTCCCTCTGAGTTGTTGAAGGATTATGGCATTTGCTTTTTCTCTGCCTTCCGACGGCCCAAGTGCCCCCAAAGATCGCCCAAGAGGCCCAAGACGGCCCCAACAGGCCCCCAAGACGGCCCAAGGGGCCCCCAAGACGCTCCAGATGGCCTCCAAGACGGCCCAACAGCCCTCCAAGACGTCCTCCAAGAGACCCGAAAGGGTCAAGATGGCCTCCCGACGGCCAAGATTACCTTCAAGATGCCCACGTGTTCGCCGAAGGCTTTCCAAACCGATTCGGGGAACACATGGTCCAGTAGCTTGGCAGGTCTGGCCTCAGCGTTCGGCCACGTAGGCGCTTCCAAAAAAAAGGGGGCGGCGGTGATTCGCCGTAGGCGTCTTCGATGCCGCTCCCCCATTACGCAACGTCAGAGAGAGGGCCTCGTCCCCGTCACCAGCCACCCCAACGCGCGGGCGCGCCTGCCCGAAGTCGATGAGGCCCACGTCGCCCTTGCGGCCTGCAGAGGGTGCTTGCAGGGGGGTCGCCGCAGCTCCTGCCTGGATGACAGTGGTGGCTGCTAAGGGAACAGGGGCAGAACGTGCGTCGGATCGGGCCGCACCGGCACGGAGTCGGGATTGAATCGGATGGGCCGAGCCAAAATGCTCAACGACACCATGCAAGAATCAGGCTGCATCGAAACGTCGGAAAAAACTGAATCGAAGAGCACTAGACCAGGCCGGAATCGTTATCGATTCGGATCGATCCGATCGAAATACGACCTTGTGGATCGTCAACCAACTACTCGATGTTGTTCGCAGCGTGAGCCCCTGCTTGGATGACCGCGGTGGTTGCGGATGAGAGTGGGGCGGAAGGCGGAGTCGTTGGCAGTCTGCGTTGTTCTGACGATGCCCGCAGCAAGCGCCGAATGTGTAACATACTGCACAACGAGCCCGCCGAATTGCCGAAATGTTCGTCAAAGCGATGTGATGGGTCGCGGGTGGATCGCGGGCTCTGTCGCGGAGTGGGTCGCGGGCGGGTCGCGGGCGACGACGACAACAAAAACGCAACAGCAACACTAAGAACAACAACAACAACAGCAACACCAACACAAACACCAACACCAATAACAACAAACACACCACCACCAACAACAACACACACAACCACAACACAAACAACGACAACCACACAATTCTCATCAACAACAGCAGCAACAACCACACCAACCACATCATCAACGACAACAGCAACACAACAACAGCAACCACAACAACAACGGCTGCATTAGCAACAATAACAGCAACCACAACAGGATCAGCAGCATCACAATAACACAACACCGAATACACATGTACTAACAATAAACGCATCAACAGCAGCAGCAGCATCAACAACAACAACACAAGCCACGGCAACAGCAAACACTACAACAAGAACAGCAGCAGCGACAACAACAACCACAATAGCAACAACAACATCCTCTTGTTAAGACTGTTCGCTCCTACCTGCTCGAGTGAGGCTCAAAACGCTTATCACAAACCCTCGGTACCCGCCCTCATTCGTCTTCGATCATATCAACCTTGGGGGTCTATCTTCCCTATTTGCCGCGTGTAGTTGGCGCAGCGCCTAAAACAGGGGAAGAGAGGACGGACGGAGGGAGGAGGATGGAGCACGACAGAAATTAACAGGAGGGGCGCTAGGAGCAGAAAACACGAGGCAGAACCAGACGGGCAGAACGGGCGGGTAGACCCTAACGGGCGGGTCGGGAAGGCGGGCCCAGGCGGCCAGGTCGAGCAGGCGGGTTGCCGAAGCGTGAGCATGAATCGCGAGGACATCTCGAGCGATAGCGCAATTCCCAAGTAAATCATGAGAAAGGCCCGAGCGACAGCGTGATTCCTAAGGCTTGGAGGCGCGACGCCTGAATAAATTGCGAGGAAATCCCACACAAGAGCCCGATGTCTGCATAAACTGTGGGGAAGTCTCGCGCACAAGCGCGATGTGTGAGTAAATTGTGAGGAAATATCCAGCGGGAGCCGTTGTTGAATTCTCACTTCTGAAGAATAATTATTGTTGATTCCCCCCACTGGTGCATACTGTTTTTCTCAATCAAACTGTGTCCCTCGACGCTCGCACCATCTTTTTTGACAGGGAAAGTCTTCCTGGTCAAACTGGCCCCCTGGGCCCCGGGTTACAACAACAACGGCTCCCGCCTGAGACTTCCTTACAATTTAGCCAGGACCCCCGCTCCCGTCCGAGACTTCCTCGCATTTTATCGTGGAATCGCGCTCTCGCTTGGGACTTCCTCACAATTTATTTAGGAATCGCTCTCCCGGCGCTCTGGAGTCACGCTCTCGCTGGAGACGTGCTTGCAACTTACTGGAGAATGGCCTTGCGTTGGAATTTCCTGCAATTTGCCCAAGCGCCACGCTCCCGACACCCAGGCACCCAGGCGTCGCGCCCATTGTGGCCCCATGTGCATGCCCTTCGTGGCCCCGCTGTCGCCATTTGTGTCCCCCTCACTGTCCTACGTGGCCCAGTTGCTACCCTCAGTGGCCCCATAGTTGCCTTCTGTGGCTCCACATTATCTGCAGTTCGTGGCCCCCGATCGTTCGCGCTCACGCATTCCCTTCGTGTCCCCGCTGTCACCCTTCGTAGCCTACTTCGTGCCCTTCGTGGCCCTGCTGTCGTTCTCTCTCGCTCTCGCTTTCGCTCGTCGTCGCCGTCGCCGTCGTCTTCGACGTCGTATTCGTCGCCGTCGTCGTCGTCGTCCTCGTCGTCGTCGTGGTCGGTCCCCTGTCCGTCCCTTTTCGGGTCGGGTCGACGGTCCGCGGCCGCCCCGCCGATCAGCGCTGCCGCTGGCCAGGACGACGGTCCGCAGCCGCCCCGCCGCTTGCCGGGGCCCGGCCTGCAGGGAAGAAAGGTATACCCCCCAAAAGGGGTTCGATCGAAGACGAAGAGGGCGGGTATCGAGGGCTTGGGAAATACGAGTTATTGGACACTCGAGCATATAAGGACGAACAGTCTTAAAATTATTGTTGTTGTTGCTGCTGTTGTAAACGGGGGGCCAACAACCCAATTCTGAGACTCGAGAGATTCCCTGATGAAACGCGAGGTGCGAGCCCTGGGAAGGGCACTTCACATGAAAAAAACACTGTGCCCCAGAGGGGAGGTGATCAACAGTGCATATTCCACAGTACTGGTCCCGCTGGTGCGTTCTCGCCCCAGAGGCGAGTACATCCTTACAGGCCCAACGTTGCTGTTGTTGCCCCCCACCCCGAGCAACGAGCAACACCGATGCGACACAAGCCATAGTACTATGGTGCCGGCGCTGGTGCTGTCGATGAAGAGGGTTGGGTGTGGAGCGTTTCGGGAGCTACTCGTGTGGTTGACGGTAGCGGTCGGGACTGGCATTTGATGTCCCAGCTTCCCTTGCCATCAGTGTGGCCGAGGCAGCCCGCGAGGGTGTTGGGACGTGCCTGTTGTGTGCGTGTGTGTGGAAGCCTGTGCTCGAGCTCGTGCGGCCGAAGCCCAACTCAGACAGGGATTTGCGCCATCGCAACGTTTCTCGAGGTCTCACTGCTGGGGCCCACTGGTGCTCGTTTCGCTTGCACCCGCAGGAGCAGACGCTCCAAGTGGATTGCCAGCTGTGCTCGGTTGGGTGTGAAGTGCTTCCATCTGGCTTCTGTCTGCGCGGCGCTGGAAACCTGGCGATGTCACTGGGGAAACCAAAAGGTACCGACACCGCTACTCGAGGGCCTCTCCTGGGGTGCGCTCTGAACAGCATTCCAATGCGACTGCGCCGTGGTCCAGCTAGCCGGGCATGGCTCGGGCGGCTGTACTGCGACCGTCTCGTGCTGCTACTAGCCGTGGGCCTCTCGAGTCAACACAACGCCCCGCTCGCATTTTTGGAGACGGGTTCACTCGCCCGAGGACTTTGTGCAGCGTGATGCCGTGCTTGGCTTGCGAAGCCCCCGCACCTCGGAGCGAGCAGCGCAGGAAAGCAGGATCCCTCCTCGTCGGCGTGAAGGCGACGCCCTCGCCGACCGGTGGGCCACGGATGGTGCAGTCCTCTCCCGGTCAGATCTCTGTGACGTGCACTTCCTCGAGGGGTGACTCGCAGCTGGGTTGACATGTTTAATGTGCCTCAAGAATCTGGACTCGCACTTCCGATCGGAGGCTCAGAAGCCATCTGGGTTAAAACTGCCTCAAGAAGAAAGATTTTGCGGCTTGGCCCCCTGATGTCCCCTGGCCCAGGTCTGCTCTTGGCTCTGGGGGCGAGGCCGAGGAGCCTCGGAAAGGCTCGGGGTCCAGGCCCTCTGCTGAGGTTGCGCCCCAGGGCCCGCGGCGCATCCGGGACCACCAAGTGCTGGAGGTGCCAGTGGGAGATGGCAAGTCAAAGCCCTTGCCGTGGTGTCGCTCGTGCTGGCAGTGCGCGGCATTCCCAGGCAAGCGTGGACTCCGAGGACCGTGCCTCGGTCTTCGACACCCCTCGGGAGGCAAGTCCTCGACCGCGAGAAATCGATGGAGGAGCTCGAAGCCCCCCCTCCCCCTCGCCCTGGGGTGGCCCTGGGGGGTGGCCGTCCGCCTTCGTGGTCGTCTCGGGCCCGATGGGCGGGCCACTTCGGGGAGCACGTCGCGGGCGAGCCACTCTGGAGGGGAAGGCTCCTGCCCTTTCCGCAGCAAGGCCCGCCGCCGCGAGTGGACTTGTTGGTGATTCTCCGCGCATCGGGTTTTGCTGAGCGCAGCGAGTCTGAGCGTTTCGGTGCTCGAGCCCTGGAGGCCAGGGCGGGGGAACGTGCACGGCGCGACGCCCGGCCCGAGGAAGATCTCGGGTGGCGATTGGGGGGGATGTGCCCTGTCGGCGTGACCCGCCCGATGTGGATCGCAGTGTCAGGGCGGAGAACAAAAGCTCTCCTCGGATGAGCACCCCGCTCCAAGTTTCCTTCTCTCTCCCCGTGGCTACTCCCTTTATGGGCGTCGAATTTCCTCCCTCTCTCCCCATTCCCGTCCCCTCCGCATCCCCACCCCCTTCCTCCACCACCTCCTCCTGCTGCTGCTGCACCACTGAAAAGGAACGTCCTGAAGCGTCCACCACGTGAATTAGAGACTCGCTGAACGAGCCGCTCCTCCGAGAGCACAGTCGCGTTACTGCACAATTCGGAGGGGGTCGAGCGGTGCTCAAAAAGGCCTCCGCTTCCTCCTCCTCCTCCTCCTCCTCCTCCTCCTCCTGCCTTTCGCCTCTGCTGCTCCTCCTCAAGCATTCCGCCTCACGGGCCAATCTCTTGGTTTGACCGGGCCTCTGCTGCGCCTCCTCCTCCTCCTGCCTCCGGTGTGCCTCGCCCTCATCCTTCACATTCACCTCTTCCCCTCCTCCTCCTCCTCCTCCTCCTCCTCCTCCTCCTCCTCTTCCTCATCCTCATGCTCTTCTTTCTCCTCCTCCTCCTCCTCCTCCTCCTCCTCCTCCTCAATGTACGATTATTGCTTTTGCTGTGATTATGCTTGTTGCTGTTACTAGTA